GTTTTCAGAGGAAGAAAACCTTCGATTTCCACAAAAAGACTCAAACATGTGAAGATGAAATGAGACAAAAACTATAAAAACATCTGAGCCGAGATTTAAAAAAAAAAAGAGAAATTGTTAGTTTTTAATGAAAACGGGTTTAAAGAACTAAATTGATGTTTGTATAAAGCGTATGAGTTCAGTTAAATATATTGTTTAAATGTTGTTTCTCAACTAATGTGTATCATTTTCAAACGATCAGATTTAGAAGCTACCGTATTTTCCGCCGTACACGTCGCACCGCCCTATCAGTCCAAATACGTCTAATAAAGTGGAACAATCCATAAAGACGTCGCTTCATCGTATACGTCGCATCTATTATGCATCACCGCAACCTGCTTGTGCCAAAAATCGATTGGCTGCCAAATTGCGGCTGCAGGAGCGTGCACGGGAGGATTTTAAGAAGAATTTAACTAGATTAACACTTAAAAACAATTTTTTTGTTTGCTCAAAATTATAGCAAAAGGTTTGTCTCAGTCGAACTTTTTCTTAATAAATGCACTTTGGTCAAATCAGCTGCATTTCAAAAGCCGATACGCGGAAGTAAGCGCATGCACAGAACAACTCGCTGTGTTTCTCTTCGAAATTTAACAAGATAAGCACCTAAAATAATAATTATTTTGCTCAACATTATAGTAAAAGGTGTGTTTCAGTTGAACTTTTACTTAATAAATGCACTTCAATGGTAAAATTAGCTGCATTTCGCCGGAGCGGCGCAGTGAAATGAAGCTGATTTGACGGTTGCTCCAGGCGAGCTGGACGACTATGGCAAGCCGATTGTGCCATTAATAGCCACTTTTTACCTATTATTTGACACAATGGCATGCCATTCAGATAGAGTGCCATCTAGTGGCTGAAAATGGTAGTGTTCAATATTTTCAGTCAGAATGAATGAAAACCGTCACATCTCAGCCAAAAATTGGTTCATAAATGTGGGGAAAAATAAATAAATATGTCGCTTCGGCGTATAAGTCACAGGGCATAAAAATTATGGGGAAAAAAGCGACTTATGGGCTGAAAAATATGGTAGCTACTTTAGCAAAAATCCATGCCAATAAATTCCTCTTCTTTCCATATTTTAACCCTTTAGTTTCTGTCAGACAAATCGTAAAAAACTTTTTCACTCTTTGTTCGGAGCGGACCCTCGTGCGGCCATCTTGTTTCCCAGAGGAAGTGACGCGTTTTTACCGCATATTTTCACGTTGGCCAGGATGTGCTTGTTGTCGTGCAGGTGACTGTGGAGGACGAGTCGCATGGGGAGCTCGGCGAAGACGAAACTCAGCTGATGGTGACAGAAAAAAAAAAAAAAACAGACTCCTGATCGTTTGTTTTGTGCAGCCTTTGAACTTACTCTAGAAGACAAAGTGATTGAATGAACCCGGTTCAAACCAGACTCACGCTGAAGATGACGTTGAACAGCGACTGGAAGACGATGATGTATTTGTGGCACGCTCCCTTCGGGAGCTTCTTCTGCTCCTGAACGTGCTCCTCCCTGTAGTTGACGTACTCGTAGTACTGCTGCGCCATCCTGCGTGTGTGGCAAAAAGAAGCTTAAAAGACAAGCGCCTTAAATTTACCGTATTTTTCGGACTTTAAGGTGCACTTAAAATCCTTTAATTTCCTCAAAGCGAGCAATTTGATCTGAACTCTGCAGTGCCTCTGTGTGTTGCCTCTGGACATGCTCACCCACCCTTGCGTCCCCCCCGCACGAGGAATGTGGGCGTCATTTGGTGCTCGTTGTGCGAGGGTTTTTTTTTCATTATCATGCCGTTAACCTTCAGCCAAAGATTAAGAGCACGTTAGGAATTTTGTTGTCTCCAAACCCTACGTGTCATTTTTCACCACTTTTTATTGTCTGTCCAAACAGGTCTCACTTGTAAATGAGTCTTCGAGGCTCCGTGTGATTTATCTGTTTAAATAAAGGTTGAATGAATTTAAAAAGCATCGACAGTGAGCCTTATAATCCGGTGCGCCTTATAGTCCGAAAAATACGGTATTTATTTTGTTTAACCTTTATTTAACTGGGGAGACCTGAGGGCAGCCTAACGTGAAAGTTTCTGGAGCGTAAAAGGAGTCCCACGGAGAAAACCCACGCAAACTCGACACGGAAAGACCCAATCGGGGGCTTGAGCCCAGGACCTTCTCGCTGTGAGGCAACAGTTAAAGCCACTGTACCACAGTGCAGCCTAAAAAAAAAAAAAAAAAATCAAACCTAAACTTTCCCACGTGGCTAAACTTTTTACTTCCTGTTTCTTCTTGTGTTGAAAATGACGAGCAACAATGAAAGTTGTTCCGATTTAAAAAAGCAACAAATAAACATAAATAACAATAACACTATAAGGAGCTAGCTTTAGCTCGTCTCTCTAAGAGTTCTTAGAGAGATTGATTAGAACGTATCAAATATGACACTAATACACATGTAACAACAAATCTCAGCGTTGTCACACCACAGAGCAGCTCAAATTAATTTGATCATAAATTTTAATTTCCATGTTTTCTGTCGATTAAAACACTGGAGTGCAGTTGTAACGATAATTTTTAGAGCCATGTTGTTCACGAGAGACAATTTAAGTTCAGAAACTGAACTAAAGGAAACCCAGTTTTGTTCCGTTTAAAGGCGCTCTACAGCAGGCTGCAGTCTAAATGTTTTTTATTCATTAAATATGTTTAAAATAAGGGGTATAATAACAGCTGTCCTTTAACTGGGACACACCGACTATGATTAATCTCTGACACAAGTGTGTAAATCATTTAATTACATATTGTTACAGTTTTGACTCAGAATATAATAAAAATGTTTCAATATTTATTCAAGAAAAACCAGAAACGTTGAGAAGAAGCTCAGAACATGAACAGGCTGCATCCTTATGAGTGAAGCATGAGGGAGGAGGTGTCATGATGTGGGATGTTTTGCTTCTTAACTGAACTCATCACTTCCACCCTGATCTGCAGGAACATGTTTGAATTGATTTGACGGTCCTAAATAAATCGATTCAAACAGGTCAGACTGAAAAGAAACGACCAAGTCGACCCGAAGACGTGAACTGAGAGTTCGGTTCTCCACGAGACTCGTCCGTTCAGTTTTCCTGCTTCTCACCTCGTGATGTAATTTCCCAACGAGGCCCAAAGCGGCACGATGGCCACGCCGATGGCTACAGCCGATGGGACCAGCGTGTAGTAGCGCTCCCAGTAATTGGTTGAGACGAAGAGCGCGTAGATTCCCGAAGCCAGGAACATCATCCACTTGGTACCAAGGAACCTGAAAATCAGGAAGAAACCGTGAGAACGCCGAGCGCCGGATGACTGGAAGACATGCTGAAGGAGCTGAAACCGCGTTCTAAAAGCTAAAAGGAGCAGAACACTAGCTAACATAAGCACAAGACTAGTTTCAAGCTAAAAGGAGCAACAAAATTCAAATAAAGCTGAAATTTAGCTCATAGCTAAAAGTAGAAGAACACTAGCTAAAAGGAGAAAAACACTAAATGAAGGAGAGCACTAGCTAAAAGGAGAACACAAGCTAAAAGCTAAAAGATGAAGAACACTAACTAAAAGGAGAATGCTAACTAAAAGCTAAAACAAGAAAACACGAGCTAAAAGCTAAAACGAGTAGAACACTAGCTAAAAGCTAGAACGAGAAAAACACTAGCTAAAAGCTAAAAGGAGAAGAACACTAACTAAAAGGAGAATGCTAACTAAAAGCTAAAACAAGAAGAACACTAGCTAAAAGGAGAACACTATCTAAAAGCTAAAACAAGAACACTAGCTAAAATGAGAAGAACACCAGCTAAAAGCTAAAAGAAGAAGAACACTAACTAAAAGGAGAACATTAGCTAAAAGGAGAGAACACTAATTAAAAGAGAACACTAGCTAAAAGCTAAAATGAGAAGAACACTAACTAAAATAACACTATCCTAAAGCTAAAAGGATAAGAAAGCTAACTAAAAGGAGAACACTAGCTAAAAGCTAAGACGAGAAGAACACTAGCAAAAAGCTAATAGGAGAAGAACACCAGCTAAAAGAAAAAGAACACTAACTAAAAGAACACTAGCTAAAAGCTAAAAGGAGAAGAACACTAGCTAAAAAGATAACTCTAGCTAAAAGCTAAAAGAAGAACACTAAATAAAAGAACACTAGCTAAAATGAGAACACCAGTTAAAAGCTAAAAGAAGAACACTAAATAAAAGAACACTAGCTAAAAGCTAAAAAGGAGAAGAACACCAGCTAAAAGAAAAAGAACACTAAATAAAAGAACACTAGCTAAAAGCTAAAAGGAGAAGAACACTAGCTAAAAAGATAACTCTAGCAAAAAGGAGAACACTAGCTGTTAAAAAAATACAAATGTTACTAAAAGTCAAAGGGTTTCTCATGAACGAGCTAAATGTTTTGATATAAGAACAGCTAAAATAGCCACACAGAAGTAGAGAGATTATATAAACAAAGAAACGATGAGACAACAAAGAGGGAAACAACGGTGTGGATGCTGATGATGGAACATGAAGGTTTGTTTGGATCCAGATGTTCATCTCTGGGTTTCTGTGCGCTGTGGGACTGCACCTGATGAGGACGGGGGTGTACAGCAGGCCGATGATGGGCGTCACGTTGATGCCCATCAGCATCTTCTGGTCGATGTCTTCGAGGCCGAGGTTGCTGTACTTCACCTCCCGGTAGGTCATGTCGTAATGGAGGGTCAGCTGCATCTGCAGCAGACCTGCAACAAATAAAAAGTTTAACAAAAGGACGGTTCTGCCTCTTTCTGTCTTTTCTCCAGCTGCAACACACCCATGTAAACGCTGTAAACAATCATGGCTCCAAAACTTCCTGCAACAACGTTCTTTATCACTCCCAGCCTCTTCCTCCTGTAGTATTTCCTCTCCTCCTCCTCCTCGTTGTACTGCGCCTGCGGGCCCAGAAACTCCTCCATCTGATTGAGGATGGGGGGGGGGGGGGGAGGTGTTAAAGTTCCATTAATGTTTCACTCCCAGGATGTTTGATCTGGACCTGAGCTCACCTGGCCCTGCATGTTGTCCTCCTGGCCCACATCCAGCAGCTCGTTCACGGCGCCGCCATTCGGAGGCGCCACAATCTCATCAGCGTCCTCCACAATCTGCTCGGCCTCTGCGACCTCCATCTGTGGACCGGAGGAGACCGAGCACACCGCCGGCAGCTTCTAGCATCATTTAATTCACTCAAAGAGTTTTAAACGGTCACAAACGAACACCGTGATCCGAGTTCATCGCTGAAATGAAGATGAATCTAAAGCAAAACTAGAGAAACTGCATCGCCTGTGAAAATGCACTGTGAATGCTTATTGCAGAAGAACTTGCTGAAAAACAGCCGAAATGTAGCTGAAATGGATAAACAAGCCTAATTTAGAAGATGAAAGCAGAAAGGAAATTTTGTTAAATTGGGTTTAAATGAGCAGAAATTAGCACAAAAATTAGGAAATTAGCAAAAATTTAGCTGAAAATGTAGAAAGAAGCTTCAGCTATCAGAAGGACGTGGAAAGAGCTGAAATGAGCTTAACAAAATGTGGAATTACCTGAAAAAGCTACAAACAGCATCAATAAAGATAAAAATAGTAGCTGAAACTAGCAGAAAAAAGCTGAAAGGAGCATAACAAGAAGTTAATAAGCCTGAAAGTAGCAGAAATTCCCATGGAAAAACCTGATCTGAAAACAGCTGAAATTAACTTAAAAATGCTAAAAAGGTAGAAGTAGCTTAAATTAGCAGAAGCAAAAAGAACACGTATGCCCAATTAGGCTGAAAGAAGCAAAAACGAACACAAAAAAGTGGAAATTATCTGAAAAAAGCTGGAATTAGCAAAAAAACAGCTGAAAAGTAGCTAAAATAGTAGAAAGAAGCTTAAATTACCAAAAAGAAGTAGAGACAGCACATTTTTTGTTGAATTAGGAAGAAAAAAGTTTAAATGAGTGCAAAATATGTGGAATTATCCAAAAAAGCTAAAATTTGCGTAAAAACAGCTAAATAGCAGCTGAAACCGCAGAAATAGCTGAAACTTGCAGAAATAAGCTGAAAGGAGCACAGCAAGTTGAACTTATCAGAAATAAGTTAAAAGAAGCACAAAAATGTTGAAAGAATCTGAAAGAAGCACAACAGCTGAAAAAAAACAGCTGAAAGTGGCTGAAAGAATTTTTAAATTTGCACAAGGAAGCTGAAGCCGAACAAAATGTGAAAGGAGCAGTAAAAGGTTGTAAACATTATAAAGAGTTAAAGGATGTAAAATGAAAGAAGTGGCAGAAAAGGCTAAATGTTTCAAAAAGCTAAAGTTGCACCAACACCAAAAGCCAAAGGAGGATTGTCCTGAAAGAGCCGAACGTTTCGGTTTATGATTTAATGAAACGGCACAAAAGTTGTGGAACGAGAAAGATGCTGAAAAATGTACCGAAGAAAAATGGATCAGAAAAGTGAGAATAAACATTCAGTCACTCTGCAGCTGTTTACTCACCAGATGTTTAGAAATTAAATTTAGTTTGTGCAATCCTCCGTTTTCTGAATCTATTTATAATTTTATTAGACGAGTTATTAAAAGGTGGAGTTAATCCTTTATTAAATTACATCTAATAGAAATGGATTTTTTTTTATTAAGAATTGAAAGCAGTAAGAAAATGTGTGGAAACTATGAATTTATGTTTTTCACATGTGGAAAAACATTTAATGAGATAAACGATCAACACATAATGATGATGATGATGATGCGCATGTGAAGTTCACATTTTTATTTTAGTTCGCACAAGAAACATAAAACACGAGTTTTACATTAAAAAAAAAATTTAATTCACCTGTCTTCACGTGCACAGTTTGCTTCAAGCTCCAGCATTAGCAGTTGGAGTCTGCCCTGTTAAGTCTGTTAGCAAAATATCAAACGAACCACTGGACAGAATTTAATGAAACTTTCAGAATCTAATCCCTGGATGGACTTTTACAAATGATTAATGTTTGGAGGCAACATCATGCAAGATGGCCGCCACAGCTAAAGAGTGATATCAAACATAAAAATGGTTCTTACTTGCTCAGTTTTACAGATACTGACCTACAGCTTGGTGTGGTAGTAACTGAGAGTCATACCCAACAAAAACTCTAAGCACTTGTCTAATCCAGCAAGATCTAGTTTTAAAACTTAGCTTTGAACTATTAGAAATTCCTGCCTGTCTGTTAGCAAAATATGTCTTGGACTACTGGATAAGAAAACAATCTGTGGTGTGACCAGGCTTTTAATTTCGTAAACTTTAGAAATTCTGAACTAAATGAGGCTTGTTTAATAAATTATTTTGGTTTTTTTTTAGGTTCGGAGCAAGATGGAAAGTTCAGCACAGAAAAAGGAACCTGAACGCATCAAGTTCTAAATAATAAGGAAGTGACTGATCTATTATTGGAGGACCATCAGTCACATAAAGGTTTAATTACTTTATTAAAAACAATAAAGCTAGCCTACTTTATTAGACGTGAATCGGTTGGTTTATGGAACTGTTCAGTTTCTATTTAAATCTTTGCAGGAACTTTTCAGTTCTGAGCTCCAGAGTTGATGATTTGGATACGAGTTTATTTTGTCAGACTGTCCTTAAACGCAGCACCGCAGCCCTGAAAACATGATTTAAAAATCACAAACGCATCGAGGCTTACCATGTTGCTGCTGCTTGTCGCTCCAGAATGAAATGCCCCCCCACCACCTGGAGGACAGACACCTCCTCCCCCTCTGGGTCACTTCTTCTTCTTGTTGGTTCCCGTTTCAGACGCGCGAGCTACAAGTTTCACGTGGGAAACGAAAGTTATTCTGTCACTTCCTCCTCAGCCTGTTTGTCTTAAAGCTACAGACACACGCAGGAGGCTCCGCCCCCTCCCTGCACAACCACTGTGTACATTAATGTGGGACACTCAGCCGAGGATAAACTGTTAAATTATTTTATTAGTCGTCAACATGTTGGACAGCTTCCACACAAACAAAAGAGCAAAGTTCAGAACTTCTGCATGTGAGACAGAACCCAGAGTTCAATAAAAACAACTGCAGTGTTGAAAAAACTCGTTTTAATTAATATCATGCGCAGCCCGGACTTCTACACAAACGTCTCGTGTTGCATCCTTCTGTAGCTCAAATAAAAATAATTCCTCGTTTCTTATTTTGCTCCCAAGCAGCAACTTTCTCGACTCGATGTTTGGGGACTTGAACTTTGGCTGATTTGTCACTTTCGGGTCCGATTCTTCACGACGGAGTCTCCAGAAACGTTTCGCAACTTTTTTTTTTTTTGCAGCTTCTCAACTTCCTCGCAGCAGAGGACGTTGAGATAACGTGTGGGACAACCTTTCTCTCAAAATGAGCTCAAAGTCGCTGAGCATCTCCGGCGCATCTCACGAGCGCCAGAGCTGCGTTTTGAGTCGAGATGCACCTTAAATCAGAGGTTCCCAACCCTGGTCCTTGAGGAACACCATCCTGGACGGTTTAGTTGCTTCTCCGCTCCCAACACCTGATTTGAACGAACAGGTGATTAACAAACTTCTGCAGAACTTGAATTAAATCACGTGTTAAAGCAGAGAAACAACTAAAACATGCAGGATGGTGTTCCTCAAGGGCCATGGTTGGGAACCATTACTTTAAATAATCATTCTCAAATCCAGTTTTTGGAAGCAAAATACAGAGAAACGGTAAAAATTAGATTCTCTTCTTGAAGGTCTTCAACTTGTTAGTAGGACAAATGTGATGACAACACAGAGACACTGAGGTTTCGTGGCTCGACAACAGACGATAATTAGGACTCGGAAATCGAAGCGCGTGCTCCGGGTGTTTCTTCTGTGCAGTTCCGTCTCGGCAGGTGACGTCCCGAGACAAAACGCTGGAGGTGAAACTGTTCTGAAGAGGCTGGACTGGGATTCCTCCCATTACTGCTCCAACCTCTGATGCAAACCCAGAGGTAGTTCATCCTCGTGGACCCTCAACGTTGGTTTTATTAACCCCACCCCCTCTTACCAAGTCTTTCATGTTAAATCCCATCCCTCATCTTTCTCCACGTCATCGGGGTCTCTATCCGCTCCCGACAGCCGCCTTCCTCATCATCTCCTCGTCTTGGACCGAGAGCTCCGTGAGCTTGCGTCCCAGTCTCTCGTGAAGGTCCAGGTATTTGGCCACGCAGCGGTCCAGGCACACGGACTCGCCCTTCGTCAGCTCCGCCTCCTTGTAATGTGGCGGGACGCACTTCCTGTGGCAGGCGTTCGTCATCCTGAGGGACAGAAGTCAGATTCTCAAAGCGACGCAGTCGAGTTTCGAATCGAACCAAAAGCAAATTATTAAATGATGCCACTGTGCCCCATGGGAGCTGAAACACGTCACGTTGTAAAAATCCACAGCGCCACCTGCTGGAAGTTGGTTCACCCACAAAAAATATAAAAAGTCCCCAAGTCTAATCTCAAACAACTTCTTGAGCTTTAGCAAAGTGAGAAGTAAATGAACTAAATGTGAAGCAGAATAACTTTTTTTAATCTTATGATAAAAAACAGGCGAAGGATGTGGACCAAAGCCTCATCCAACCAAGACGTCGTTTAAAAGATGAAACTCATCATTTCAGAAACACAACGGGGAAACTTGTTCTTTTTCCATTTGGCTTTGCAAGAATCCTCTGAATATTCAAATCCATTTTTATTGTTTTTATTGTAAGGTACGCATCAGAGCACTTTAATTACTGACTCCCATCTCAGAGTCCCTCCCCAGTTTTATGTTTCAATTTCCCAGTTTGAGATGACGACTATATTTGACATAAAACACTTATAAAGGTGCACCCAGGGCCCTCGCCTTCACCTGATCTTCACGACTCCCCACAGGTGACAGGTGAAGGAGGCTTCCTGTAGCTCCTTGGGGCCTGGCTAAGCCGTGGAACCAAGTTTCAGGTCTTCACAACAAACCCTCCACCCCCTTGGCCTGGCTAGAGGGAGCCCAACTTCTAGGCAGAGTGGGAGGTTTCTGTGGACCTCCATCATCAGGGTCTTTGTGTTGGACTGCTCGCCTGAACACTATTCATCATAAAAGACACCAGCAAGGGGCTGATGTCGCAGACGCTGCGGCTTCTAGGATCATGGGTGGAAATCAAACGCTTTCACCAGCTTAAGGTTGCTCCTCTGCAAAGGGTTCATTCACAGTAACGGGGGTGTTGCTCCGACCTGTCGAGGTGAAGAAGCTGCCGAGCGTACAAAGCTCTCCATTCACTTTCCAACCCTCACCTATGGTTATGACAGGTAACTGGATAGAAGCTGTTGAATTTAGCTTCCTCTCTTGGGTGTTCGAGTTCAGTCTTAAGAGGTAGTTACTGCACCTCAACTTTCACAATAAAAGCCTACTGCATCTCGTTTTTTCACAATAAAAACCTAAAATTAATCAAAGAAATGGCCAGTGACCAGAGTCCACACATGGTGTGTGTGTGTCAGCAGAAACATCAAGGTTGACCTGCTCGTTTTTAAGAGTACATCATGTTCTGGTCATTATCCTTGGGGGAGGTGTGGGGGGAGATATTTAATGTTTACCCTTCGTGGGCGAGAAGTTTGCAAATAAAGCTGTAAGCCAGAAGGGGCAGATGGTACATGGTGTTTCGCACAAATTGAGTCGCGGTTAGCGGATTTACCGGTTGTACATGTCAGCCATCATCTCCACCTCCAGCTCCGCCGCTAGCTGCTGCGCCTTCATGGGATCCATGTTGTCCGCCTCTCGGTGCTCTCAGCCGGCCTCCACCGCTGCCACGCCGTCCCTCTGAGCCTCTCCTGTGGACACTTGGAGAAGAAACAACCGCTGCTCCTCCCGTAACCTTCAAAGTCTGTGAGGGAAAACACGTGTGGCGTCACCGCGATCACTTCCGGTGTCAATAAAGTTGGATTCAAAAGGAGCGCCCCCTCTGGTGGTCACTACAGGTACTGCTTACAACGAGTTGTTTTTGTAAAACGGAACATCTATGAAAAAACACTTTTAATCAACATTATGTACTTTTACACAAAACACGCCGAAAGGAACAAATACAGCATCGAAATAAACATTTTTTTTAACAATAGTGCCTTACAGAAAGACAATGATGTGCTTTAACTTAAAAACTTAATTTTCAGAAAATAAAATATTTAAAACTAAAATAAACAGAGAAATATAAACATTAAGAACGTTCTTTTTGTCTAATATTAATGGTATTTAAACATGCATTAGAACCATATATTTTCAACTAAATCTACTTTTTTGACAAATGAAAACAAAATTGTAAAAAAATAAAAAACGATGCGCGTGTGAAAGAGTCTTTCTGCTTCATCAACCTGTCACGTCTATGTCGTCCTCGTCTTCCTCCTCATCACCTGAAACGGTGACTACGCTGCTCAGTCCGTCTGCACACGCTGTAACTGGGGGCCCCTTTTCTGGGGAGAAAACCAGTACGTCCACTTCCTCTTCCTCACCGTCCTCCTCTTCCTCTCGGTTGCAGCCGGAGGCGACGATGAGTTCAAGGACTCCTGACAAAGGAGGAGCAGTTTCCAGAGACAAAACTTTCAGGGTTGTTTGAGGCAGTTCGGCGTCGCAGTGAGGTCCAGTTTGGTTGCTGGTCGCAGGCTGCAGCTCGTCTGATCCTCCCGCCCGACACAACGCTCCTGACAAAAATAAATAAACTTTTTAATCATTAGGCAACAAATCTGAACAACCTTGAAGGCAGAGGTGTAATAATAAACAGAGTTCCTTGACAAATGTCACTAAAATCTAATTTTTGTTCATGTTTCTCCCAGATCCAGTAAAAGTGTTTCAACCTGTGTGAGGGGTGAAGCTGGAAATTAAACTTTTCTTTTGAGCAGCTGCTGTGATGAACCGCTTCATCGCTTGTTTTAACTGGTTTCTTATTTAGACGCGTTTTATTCTAATGTTGTGAACGTTTACCAAGAACTCACTCTGTTGTGATCCTTTTTTCTTCCGTACGCATTTCAGCATCTTTCTCGTTCCACGGTTTTTGTGCTACTTCAACAAATCATAAATCAAAACGTTCAGCTCTTTCGGGTCAATGACTTTTGGCACCGGTGCAACTTTAGCTTTTTGAAATATTTAGCCTTTTCTGACGTTTTTTTTCTCTCTCATAGAAAATGAATTGAGCTCATTTTACCTCCTTCAGATCTTTAGATCCGTTTACAAGCTTTTACTGCTCCTTTCATGTTTTGTTCTGCTTCAGCTTCTTTCAGCTTCCAGCTGCAAATTTAAACTATTTTTCAGCTAATCTCACATTTTTTGCATTTATTTCAACTTTTTTCAGACTAACTCAACAAAAATGTGCTCTCTCCCACTTCCTTCTTATAACTTAAGCTTCGTTCAGCTTTTTAGCTACTTTTCAGCTGTTTTTTTTTTTCTAATTTCAGCTTTTTCAGATAATTTCCACTTTTTTATGCTCATCTGTTTCTTTCAGCCGAATTGAGAAAATGTGTTATTTCTGCTTTGTTCTTCTAATTTAAGTTTATTCTAATTTTTCAGATAGATTGTTAACATTTTAGTTAATTTTTCAGATAAATTCATATTTTCCGTGGTCATTTTGGCTACTTTCAGCCTAATTAATTTATTTCTGCTAATTTTGGATTGTTATGCTCCTTTCAGCTTTTTTCTGATAGTTTCAGTTATTTCAGCTACTATTTAGCTGTTATATGCTAATTTTAGCTTTTTCAGCTAAATTCAGTTTTTGTACTTTTAAGCTTTTTTCAGACTAATTCAGTAAAAAAGCTCTCTCCACTTCCTTCTACTCGTTTCAGCTTTCTCCCATTTTAGCTACTTTTCAGCTGTTTTGTGCCAATTTCAGCTTTTTTCAGATAATTTCTACTTTGTTGTGCTCATGTCTGCTTCTTACAGCCTAGTTGTGCACAATTGAGCTCTCTCCACTTCCTTCTGATAATTTAAGCTTCTTTCTACCTTTTCAGCTACTTAACAGCAATTTTGTTTTGCTAATTTCAGCTTTTAGATCTAATTTACTAAATTTGTGCTCACTTCTGCTTATTTAAACCTAATTCAGCAAATATGTGTTCTTTCTGCTTTTTTCTGCTAGCATAGGCTTGTTCTTTTCAGCTACACTTCAGCATGTTTTTTTTAGCTCATTTCAGCTGTTTTTCAGCAAGTTCTTCTGCAATAAGCATTCACACTGCAGTTTTGCAGGAAATGCAGTTTCTGCAGTTAGAATGATTATTTACAAGTCAATAAAGTGAATGTTCTCTTTATCACCACAATAGGAGGTTTCCAGTACCTTCGTCCGGATCCTTCAGCTGTTCTTTCTCAGACGACGTCTCCGTCACTTGAACTTCCAGGACGTCGCCAGAACAACCATCTCCATCAGCAGTTTCCTCCCGAGCCGCGGAGCTGTTTGAGCCTTCTTGCTGCGAGTTGTTCCTCTGAGCTGCTGCTGTGTTGCACAAAACGCTGTGATTTTTATCAGCATCTTGAATCTTTACGCTCTCTGTAATCTCCAGCTCACCGCTGGAACCGCTCGGTGCGCCTCGCTCCTCCTCTGCGGGTTCGCTCGTCTTCTGGCTTTCTGTGGACTTCTTTGTTTGCAGTTTAATCAGTTTCTGAAACTCCTTCACCGTGACCATCCATGACTGTTTGCGCATTTCGAGATCTTTCTGGTCGTTTTCCTCGGCCTTTCCGGAGCGCTCGGCACTTTCGTTTTTCTCTGCTTCGCTCGTGTCCCCCCTCGGCTTCCTGCCCCTTTTCCTTCCTCCGGCGTTGGTCTCCAGCTGCGACGAGGCTTGCTGCTCGCTGGCCTCGTCGCAGCTCCTGCTCTCGGTTTTGGCAGGAACGTCGTGCAGAGGGGGCGGATCCAGCTTTATTTTACGAGGCCTCCCACGTTTGCGCTTCGGGACAGCGATGCCTTGCTCGTCTCCGGCTCCAGCTCTGCAGACCGAGGGTATTACAACTGGTTTCTTTGGGACATTCCCACTTTTCTTCTCCTGAGACTTCTTCAGAACGCTCCTGGTCTGGATCGACGTCTGCTCTGAGCTGAACTTTCCAACCGTTCTGGTTTTCTCCTCCACAGACAGATCTGCGGTTGCCATTTGGCTCGTTTTCTCTAAAAACACGCAAGGCTCGTTTGAAGGGTTGGTGGTTATTTTCCTTTCCCTCGCCAACACGTTGTTGCTCGACAAACTCACCGAGCAAAAATTAGGCATTTTGGATTCCAAATACAGATCCAAAGAATCCTGAAGAAAACCCTTGCACCTTCTCTTTTTAGATGTTGCACAGTCTCCTGTGGAAGGATGGTTTCTTTTCCCCACCTTGGAGTCAAACGTCTCTTCTGGTTGGGATTTATTCTCCCTCTCGTTCGCACCACCTCCAGGTTCTGCACAGCTGCCCCTGTCGTTTGGCGTCCAGCCCACGCAGTGCTGCTCCGAATCGCAGCCGGCGGCTGAATCCTGTGGTTGAGATCTACTTTTATCTGTGAGAACGAGAAGAGGAAAGTGCAGAGACCAGGGGGCTTCTGTCAGCCAGGGTCGCCTATGAAGGGACGGCTGGACATTATATTCAGGGTTAATGGAAGTCTTGTTAGGACGAGGCTCTTGTTGAGCTTCGGGGCTGTGAGGCTGTATCGGAGAAAGAGGGCGAGGAAGCCTCGACACATTCATGCACGGTGAGGAGAAAGAATGCTCGGGCTGAGGTTCTTTCTCACGTGACGGAGGTAAGAAGTGAAGAACGGTCCGATCTTCCTGGGAGGACAGTGGCTGTAGTCCTGGGAAATGTAGTTCAGGTTCTTCGGGGACACAAGTCGGAGGTAACATGGATCCTGTAGTTTGAGGATACAGAGAAGTATCCTCAGCCACAGAGTTGCAAAACGTAGCAAAAATTTTACAGGAAGAGTTCTCACATTCTGATCAGGGAAAAAAAATAAAGTCAAATTAATTCAAGAATTACTCGTAAATAGTTTCTGTTGTGTAGAACTAGGCCTGTCACGATAAACAATAAATCAATTAATCGCATGATAAATGAAAACTATCGACTCATTTTCATTTATCGACTTTTGTCATTTCTTCATTTCTGAAGACACTGGATGACAAAAAGTTGTTTTTCTCTGCAAAAAGAAGCTGAGAACTTGTTTACTGATTTTTTTAATTAAAAGCTTTGTGTGAGAAATGCTATGCTAAAGAACCACACCGAGCAGCCGCCATTTTGAGAACCAAAGAGAGAAAGCCCACGTCACGTCAAGGGGCCTCCCTCCCATTTTTCTTAAAGAGACATGCTGCTCGCTCCCTCACTATCCATCCTTCGGTTCAAACAGTCTTGTACTGCCATCCGGTGGTCAACAAAGGTACTACACACAAAATCCAACATTTCTTCTTAAATTTGACAATAATTACCAATTATTGTCAAATTTCAAACAATATTATCGTTTATCGCAATAATTTCTGAGACCATTGATCACTCAGCAACATTTGTTATCGTGACAGGCCGAAAATCACCCACCTATTTCTGCTGACGAGTGGTCCCTTTGTATTCTCAAGTTCTGGTAGAAAACACATCCTGCTTCACTGACCGCACCATGCACGTGTGCCGACTCGGCACCGTTGTCCGGAACCGGACAAAAGTTCTGCGCTCCGTCGTGGCTCGTCTGCGCTCTTTGGCAGTTATCGCTCAAGTTGGGCAGAATGTTCAGGCCCATCATGATTTCATCCAGCATCCTGTCTATCTCCTCGTCGGGCTCCTCCACAGAACCCTGAGGCTCACGCAGCGCCTCCAGATCCTGCTCGCTGCTGTGGTCCAGGGTCGCGTCCGACTGCTGTGGTGGCTTGGGGAACGTGGCGATAACCGGACGGAGATTTGGAGTCGCGGGGTTCAGAGCTGGGAGAACGGAGGCAGAAGTTTGGGCAACTCTCTGTGGCATTTCTGGGTTGGAGCCGCCCTGCAGAAACATAAAAACAGACTTGACTAAGAAAGTAAGAAACCACTAAATGATTATCTACGACAGCCCAGTTCAAGATGGCCGCCAAAACTATGACATTAAAGGCAGCGGGCGATATGCATTCCCTCAAAATGCATCGTCGACACGTTTCAGCTCGCCCACCTGTTTCACGGAGGCAAGAACCGACGGCATCCCGCGTTTGTCCTGCAGGGTCACGACCTCCCACGCTTCTTCTTCTTTGGTCCTCCTCCTCAACTTCACCTACAACAAGAGACAAAATAAGAAAAATGTAAAGTCCTGCAAAAAACTGAAGTCCGGCACCAAAATATAAAGTTTCACTCTCAACTTCTGCTGAAAAACAAAAGCTTCTAATCATGCAGACAAACAGAAACTAAAAACGATCACTTCTTCATGAAGGAATTGTTTTTATTTTACCTTGGTAAATAAATTATTTTTGCCATTGGTGTTGGTTGTTTTTATTTAAAAATAAAGCAAGTTTATTGTTCATACATGCAGGAAGTATTCCTTAAATGTAAATCTAAATGTTCATCGCT